TTCCTTGCCTTTAAAGGAGTGTCCTTTGCCGTGCTGATGTTGCTACGTGCCTTACTTCTTGCCTATCTCACACTGCAAATTTTTTCTAAGCTTTATACTAAACATTAAATCTGTTACGAAAAAAGAACTAAACAAAATGAACACAAAACGATCAGCTTTAAAAAAGGACTCGTAACTGGAAAAAACAAATGAAAAAAGAATGTTAACAACAAATACTTTTTCACACCCAACCCAGTTCTGCGGAATCAGAATCAATGTTGAGTTTAAGCAAGTGAATGAGCCAATTGGAGTAAAGCAGCTATCGATTTTTTTTGCATGCTAGCATGCTAGTTAACATTCATATCAGTCAGATGTTGGCTCTCATGCTGGCCAATAGAATCTTCCTGCCAATTCGTGGCAGCCAGCTATAGGCTCTCACTCTGGCCAGTAGAAAATGGCTGCAAACTACATGAAAACTGCCATAGAAGCATGAAAAAAATCAATTATTTCCACTATTGATGGGGATTGGGAAATGAAAAGTCAGTTTTGGCATTCACGCTAAATTGGAGCATGTGCATGTAAATTTTGGTGCAAATCTGTTGAAAATTGCGGCCGTGCATTCGTTACACACACACACCCCATGCCTTTTATAGATAGAGATTTAAAGCCAGAAAATATTTTTAGATTTTAGGAATTTTTTTTTTTTTTTTTGAGATAATAATAATTTAGTGATACAAGACTTAATTATAGCTTGGAGGAGAAGAGGTGGATTCATACCTAATCAGAATTTGATAAACAAAGAAATTATAATATGGATATAAAATGAGTGTTCAGTACTATATTACAATCAATATATAAACTGATCCCTTATTTTGTGGCCACGATAGTATCTATACATTTATATTTCAGAGAATGTAAATTAATCTAAAAGATATGCCGGCAAGAAATTATGTGTATATAAATTGGGGGATCTGTTCTATATTACAATCAATATATAAACTGATCCCTCATTTTGTGGCCACTGTAGTTTCTATACATTTATATTCCAGAGAATATAAATAAATCTAAGAGACACGTCTGTGCTGCTAATCAGTATTTCATTGACTGATTGATTTGTTTCCTATGGTTTATCAAGCTTTTGCAGGTTATTTAAAGTCAGAAAATATTTTAGATTGTAAGAATATTTTTTGGTGATGATAATGATTTAGTAATAAAAGTCTTACTAATTAACCCATAACTGGGTGGAGAAGGGGTAGATTCATTCCTTTCCAAAGAGTATTTGAATATAAAGGAATATAACAAACCCAACTGGAATTGGACCTCAGCATTGCAATTTACAATTCCGAGCCATTATCCCTTACAACACCTACACATCCAAGCTTACAGAAGCTGGTAGTCCCAAGTGATTATTAACGAGAGAGAACAATAAATGAACAGGAATTAAAAACACAAAAGATAATGATTGACATTGATCTTCAAAAATTTAAATGCAAAGTTGATTGAGAAGCAAGAGGCTGGAAGAGAGTTTTACAAGCAAGAAGTGTAAGAGAAGAAACTGTTAGCATTGAACTTTAAGTTACATATAGCTATTTCAACTGTAAAATAATGAGACCTAGCTGCCAATCTAGTACTGCACTTAAATTCATAAAGATGAGATGCCAAGTTAAGACCAATAACATTGCAGGTATGACACATCTAGTCTGGTGCTCCAGCTATACATCTTGAGATTCAAAATCCAAAGAAAGATCTGTATTGTTGTCTGTACTGACCTGATATTTCAAATTCAGTCACTTTCCTACTGCCATGACGTGGCTTACTCATGTCTTTTGTATAGATATTTTCATGATAATTATCCTGATTATTATCTGTCTATATCTCTGAGATGAGGTATTATGATTATTTCGAAATTCCAATCACCTGAAGAAGGCCGGAGTGTGCAGAATATTGCTTAACTTGCAAGTGGTCTGACACACAGGTAGATTGGTGTAGTCACTTCAAGTTGGAGAACAGCACTGAGTGGTTTAATGGAGAGATATATGGATGAATAGAGTCCACTCATGCAAATGTGTTGCGCTGGTCCATTCTAGTAAAGTGGAGTAACATACCTGATGTATTAGCTACTCTCCTATAAATGAGGTAGATTAGCTGGCCTGCCTTTACAAAGAGACACAAGGAGGCAGCCATGTTAGAAGGTTAGTCTACAGAGTGTACAACTGCCGAAACGTGAATATGGAATTGAAGATGAGAATAACAGTACGAATAATGTAAGTAATGCTCTGATCATCTCTCCTCCTTTTGACTTAAAATGAATTTAAATGTACAACTAGATTCATAGTTAGGTCTTATTGTTTTACTGTTGAAACAGCTAGATGTAAATGTAGAGTTCTATTCTAATAGGTTCCTTCCTTGCACTTTTTACCTGTGAAACTTTCTGGTTTTTTGCTTTCCTTCTACCTAATCTTCAAAAATTTAAATGCAACATCAATTGCCATCTTTGGTCTTTCTGAACACTGTTCTTTTATTGTCATTTCTCCTTGCTAAAGTCTTGTCATTCTCTACCATTCCCAGTAATCCCTTGAATTTTAGTGGCATTATCACCTTGCTTGGGGTGAAATGATTACCCCCCCCAAAAAAAAAACCAAAGAAATAGAACAGAATTTATGAAGGTTGTGATGAATGTTGAATATTGGTTAGCTTGCAAGTAGTCTAAGACACAAGTAGACTAGTGTAGCCCCTTCAAGTCAAAGTGACCTGAGTCATTTAATGGAGAGTTATATGGGTGAATGGAGTCCACTCATGCAAATGTGTTGGGCAGGTCCATTCCAGAAAAGTGGACTAACCCACCTGCTGCATTAGGTACTCTCCTATAAATAAGGTAGATTAGCTGGCTTGCCTTTAGAAGGAGATACAAGAAGGCAGCCATGTTAGCAGGTAAGTCATTTGACTTCTACAATGAATACACTTAAAACAGCAGTAATGTGATTCTACAGAAGGATACTGAGAATACCATGAACTGAATATGTGAGCAACGACAAAGTTATAGAAAAATGGAAATAAAAAGAAAATTTATGCTTAACATCAAGTAGAGAAAGCTGAAATATCCAGAGCACATAATCAAGAAAGAGGGCTTTGAAAATCTGATACCCACAGGACAGAGTGAAGACAAGAGAGACAAAGGAAACCAACAGCACTAGAATCAAACACTAAAGAAGCCAAACACTGGATCACGACTGGCAGAGCACAAAAAAGACTTCCACATGGGAACAGTACAGGTATGGGACAAATGCAGTCAAGACACGGAAACACAAACAAGGACAAACAAATTTCAAATGGTATGAGGAAACACAAACAGAAATCATTGGTAACACATGGCGATCCTGTTATAAAATCAACATGGCAAACTGCTAGAAAGCCTCTTCAGAAAATGTGCCTGCTTTCACGAAGCCTAACACTTTATTTGCATAGGTAACACCGTTCAGTTCACTATGCTGACTATCTCATGAGGAAGCTGGTAGACACTTTCTTTCTTCATAACCAGACTTTCTGGAGTTCACACTGGCTCTATTCTGGTAGGGCAATCATGTGAGGTCTTTCTGTAGAGATAGCACACTAAAAGTCACCTCTTTGACCAATAGGGACAGGTACTGTTATCAGTAGTGATTGGCTGCTTCGTCTGCATTTCGTTTCTGTTACAAAGGACAAAATTATAACAGAGAAGCTAAAGAATTTGTTGAAAACAAAGGAAAAATGAGATCTAAAACCAAACTAACTTTTTGATGGTTCACCTTTGATATTTAGCTATTAAGTTGTTTATGATCTAACATATGTATAGGTCAACCCCAATTTACAAAGATAATCAGACAACAAATTCAGATTTAAGGAAAAAAAAAAAAAAAAAAAAAAAAAAGAAGCACGAGATATAATATTTCAAGAAATTTTCACTCACTACCATCCCTAAACCTGTGGTTCCCAAAGTGGGGTGCCTGCCCCACCATTAATTCAATAATTAGTTATTAACAATTAGTTTTTTTTCTAGTGAGTCTCTGCAAGTTAATACATATGGTGCATATACAGTATGTATACATAAAAATATTTGTGCGTATGTACGTACATGTATAATTATGTATGTACTATATATATATATATATATATATATATATATATGACAATTAGCCTGAGGAGACGCATTGATATATGTTGAAACTTGATCGCAATTGTATAGCAATTTTAAACGTTTTTGATTTAATATCCTTATATATATATATATATATATATATATGTGTGTGTGTGTGTGTGTGTGTGTGTATTTATTTATTTACTCTTCAAATAAAATTCAATTAAGTTCTATGAGCTGCTGGCAAGTTTTGTATTGAGAATAACATTAAAATTTCCTTACTTCCATGCAACGATGGTCTAGGGGTAAGAGATCTGACTGATGTCAAATCAGTCGGGTTTCGATCCCGGCTTGAAGCAATTGGACATCTAGCCACACTGAGGAGCTGTGATACAGTGAAACAGTTTGTGGTATAAGTAACACAATATTTTTATAAATATGGTAAAATTCTAAAATTAAATTATAATCTCAAGTTCTTAAGGAAAGTTAAGTTAATGAATGCCCTTTGAGGATTCCTCCACAGGAATAACAGTTTTTCTTTTTGAATAATAAAAATTGTGTGTGTGTGTGTGTGTGTGTGTGTGAGGGGGGGTTACATCAGAATTTTAGAGATGCTTAGGTTGGGCATGACCAACAAGGGTTTGGAACCACTGATCTAAAATGTACAGTTGGAGAACTTGAAGCCATGATCATGGCTAACCTTTTCTGCCATTCTTCTGCAATTGCCTCTCAAGAAGCTTTACTCATACTAATTAACCCATAGGAAGGGGTAGAGAAGAGGTGGATTTGTACTTTTCTCATGAATATTTGCACATAAGTGACTATAACGAACCCAACTGAAATTGGAACTCAGCTCTCTTATTTCCAATCGTGAGCTGTTATCCATTACACCACTTGCACATCCAAGCTTACAGCACCTGGTATTGCCAAACAGTCACCCATCTGGCTACTGATTAAGCTTGACATTGCTTAACTTCAGTGATTGTATGAGAACTGGTATTTCAGTTAGATATGGCTGCAAGTGGAAGAAGAAAACAAAATAAGAATAAGATTCTTGAATATTCTGAATTTAAATAAATACACACACACATATATATATTTATATACACACACACATATATACACACACACACATGTACTGTCTCCCCTGGAGACATAGCCAATCATGGCACTCCATGACATCCTGTTTCTTTTAGCTCTTAATAAATTTTGTCTGTTATTTCTCCTAAACACTATTACATTATCCGTTTACTCAAGCTCACTATGTATGTTATGCATTGTTTCCCTCTGTCTCTCTTGCCTTCAATCTGTACTATGAGTATCAGATTCTCCAAACTCTCCATCCTCATTGGGTACCTCTTTCTGTCTCTTTCTGAGTTTAAGTGTACTTTTTCTTACTATTTTCTCTAATACTTTGTCATTGCCTACATGTTTAGTGCATGGTATCCTTCCTGTAGAACCACATTTCTGTGGCTTCAAGTCTCCTCTTCATCTTTGAGGAGATTGTCCAGCATGCACTACCATACAGGAAGACAGATATTACCTAACAGTTTAGAACTCTTTCCATTGTTTATGCTTTTTATTAGATTCTTCAGGTATTCATGCAAGTTATTTCTTTTCTGGATATAGGACAAACAATCTTTGACAAAGTCCCAAAGACAACACATGTTCATATATATATATATATATATATATATATATTACACTTCAAGTAAACTGGATTGAGTTCTCCGAGCTGCTAACATGCGACGATGGCCTAGAGGTAAGATATCTGATGTCAGTCGAGTTTCGATCCCGGCTTGAAGCAACCGGATGTCTTGCCACACTGAGGAGCTGTGATACTGCAAAACTGTCTGTGGATTACTATATATATATATATATATATATATATATATATATATATATATATATATATATATATACACACACACACGCATAAATTCCCAAGAGGATAGAATCCAGGTAGAACTCAATGTCCAGGACAGAGTAAGAATATAAAAGACTCAAACACTAATATTATTAATTATTATATATATATATATATTCTTATTTAATAATTATTAGATATATATATATATATATATATACATATACACACATTATTATTATTATTATTATATATATATATATATATATATATATATGTTTTTCATTTAAGATAGGTAATTATTATCACTTAATGTTTGTGCAAATACCTCTGACAAAAAAACAAGAATAGTTTTAAAATTAAAAAGAAGTATGTTTTAAAAAATAACCATCATACAGAGATATCAATTGTAAATAAAAACGAAGTTCAGCTAGCTCTGTAAAAAAAACCCTAGTTCACTTTGACATAGTATTCATATTATGAACAGGACCTAGTTTCAAAATTGATGAAAAATCAATATATTTTTGATTCTAACAAATTTTGTGACTTTAATACTGATCTATAGAAAGATTTTCTTATTTCTTTTTATGAGCAGGTCGGTCAATTTAAGTAATGTCTTATTTTTGTATTGTATTGTTGATTATCAAATGCACTTCTCATTTTACTCCTCCTCCACTCTTTCACTCATTGACTTGTTCAGCATTCATTCGTTCTGCCATTTTCTGTTTTGACCGATTCTTTGAGGAATCCTTTTCAACTCAATTCCTGCAACAATTTTCTTCATACAACCAGACTATAAATAAGCAGAGGATTTTTTTTGAAAAAAAGAAATGAAATAAAATAAAAATAAAATACAACAATCGGTCACTGCACAAACAGGAAGAGGGTGGATGATGCAACAGAAAAGAAAGCAGAGAAAGACATTTTTTTTTTTTTATTAGTAACGGTTAAAAGAATAATGAAAGCACCAAAGGAACAAAAAGAAAACAGAATTGAGAAAATTTAAAAAGAAATTTCATGGTGAATTTGTTTTTCTACTTTAAGAATAAAATCCAAATTCATATATAGTAGGACTTGCTTACTCATAACAGATGAATTCCAAACCTGACTAGGTTAAAATTACAATTTTTTTTTTTTTTTTTTTTAAATCATTGGAAATTTATTTGGAAAATTTTGCATGACATGGATCAATCTTAAAAATTCAAAATGTGGAATCCATAAATAATAAACCCTTCAAATATCTTAGTACCTAGACCAGTTGTAACCGATTTAGTGCAGGCTTTGTTATGGGTAGTTTTCCCCAATGCCACAAGTTGCTACAAAGCCAAAACATGGACCTAAAACCTAGAGTCGTGATTGTAATTAACTACGCAGATTCTTTTTCTTTCAGCATCTCTTCGTACTTTCTGATGCAGGAAACTTGTCCCTTGAAGTCTCTGGCTGGAACTTGGAGGAAACTCCTTAACTATGTTGAATCTTGTGGTTCCTACCTAGGATTGAACTCACTATCATTGGCTAACAAATTCCTGAAGATATCAGACTCCCACTCCTCAGCTTAATGAATGTGTTCTAAGCAGTGGCAGTAGCAGGCTTGTCTCCCTTCCTTGCCAAAGTGGATTTGATCATTAGGCATAATTTAAATTTATTGAAATTTCTCCTCGGTGAACATTTTTTTATTTGTATAGTGAAGTGCTGTCAATCAGTTTATTGAGCAAGATCCTGTTTTTACTACATAAAGCACAATAATAATAATAATTTTAATGCTTTATCTAACAGAAAATTAAAATAATAATTTTCTATGTGACATGTCCTGACAAAACATGGGTGGTCATGGCTCTCCACAATTTCCTGTCCTTTATAGCTCTTAATAAATTGTCTTTTTGTTGTCTGTTCTAAACATTGTCCCACTATCTATTTACACAATCTCCTTCTTCTACATGCCACATCCCTGCAAGTCGTGGAAAATCATGGCTCTCCACAATTTCCAGTCCTTTGTAACTCCCAATATTGTCTTTTTGTAATCTCTTCTAAACCATTTACACAAACTCGCTAGATAGTTAATGCATTGTTTTCTCCTACCCCTCTTGACTTCAGTCTGCAGAAAACTTGTCTATTGAAGTCTCTGGGTAGGACTTTGAGACAACTCCTGTTAACTATGTTGAATCTTGTGGTTCCTACCTAGGATTGAACTCACCATCCTTGGCTAACAAATTTCTGAAGATATCAGATTCCCACTCTTCAGATTAATGGATGTGTTCTAAGCAGTGACAGTAGCAGAAATGTCTGAGAAATATGCATCCACCGACAGGAATTGAACCTGTATCCTATATGGAACCGTCATATAGCCTGACATGCTTTTACCAATTTTACCACAGAGGAGCATTTCGGTTAGCAAGGTCGATTTTACTGTTTTTAAACTACAATTTTCCATGATTTTCTCACGTACATGACAATTTCTCGGATATTCAAGCCGCAAATGTTGTTAATGCTGTTTATTATAAACAGAGCATTTACTTAAATATTTGTATCTATAAAAAAGAATGTATAAACATGAAAATGTCATAAAATAATTGTCGGACTTTGTCTATTTCATAATGTGTGACATTTATAAATACTATTCATCCAGTCTTTAAATATTGCTGCCACATGTGGTCTGGTACTTCTATGTATGTGGAAATTCTTGATAAAATCCAAAGAAGTATATGCAATGTTATTTGTCCTGACCTGGCATCTCAGTTTCAGTCACTTTCCCACTGTCATAATGGAGCTTCCCTGTTCCTTTTCTATAAATACTTTCATGGTAATCGTTCTGATCAGCTTTTCTCTATGGTATGTAGATTTAAGGGATTTATACACAGTACTAGATTGGCATCAAGGTCTTATTATTTGACAATTTGATATCAAACTCTTCCCTTATAAATATTGCAAATATTACATTATGGTTGGGGAACCCACGTAGAAGAAGAAAGTGCAGTCTTATCTTGATTCCATGTCTTTTTTTATGGCCAGTGGAAGGATTTTTTTTTTTTTCAATTTGAGTTTTATAAGTGGGATCAACTTGACCAAAGAGGAAAAAGAACAAAGGCTTTGAATATTGATGTCATATTAGGTCTGGTGCTCCTGTTATGTATTTTTCATAAAATCCAAAGAAGAATCTGCTATGTTATTGGTTCTGATCTGCTATCTCTGCTTCAGTCACTTTTCCATAGCTTTCATGTGCCTTTTTTTAGTAATACTTTCATGGTAATTGTTATGATGAGCTTTCCTATTTGGTGGATAGAATTTATGGATTTAAGCATGGCACTAGATTGGTTGTTAGGTCCCATCATTTTTCCAGTTGAAATGGCTAGATGTAACTGAAAGTTCTATGCTGGCAGTTTCTTTTATCGCACTTCTCACTTGTGCAACTCTTCAGGATTCTTGCTTTGTGGTTGACTTTGATCTTCAAAAATGTCATTGTCAATTATTATCTACTGTCTTCTTGATTCCTGTTCTTTTATTTTCAATAATTTTTTTCTCATATTCTCTCTCTTACTAACATTTGTGTCTTAGTGGCTTTATTACCTTACTTGTGGTGAAATGATAAAAAAAAAAAAAACTGATCTGTACATTGTAAAGGATTTGATCCATTTTTTTTTTATCCTGCCATAATAATCGATCTTTTCTTGCGCAATAGAAGCATGAATAATCGTGACACCCTAATCAGCTTTTGCACGTGCCAGTTTCTGTTTGCTTAGGCAGAGAGAAACCGACAATTCTCAACTGCAATTGTTCCTCAATGGTCAGCTGGCCAAAGGCTTCACTTCACCTGCTGACCACACCACCAAACCTGGTCAAAGCTTGGCCGATAAAAGATTCAATCGGCTGTGAATGCAGCGGAACTATTGCTAAAGTAGCCTTGAGCAAATGCGGTCAAGATTTATCAGGAATCAATGAGTGTAAGTCTTTGCAGAGGCAAGATAGTGCTGAGGTGGAAAAAGCCGAACTGCAGAAAACAAAATCAGTGAAAGAAAAAGAAAGAATTATCTTCTCCACAAGCTTGTAGCTTCCTCCATCACTCTGGCATGCTTAACAGCTCGACTTTGCTGTCAAAAGCTATTTCATTCCAAACAGATCTTTTGGGTGAACAATTTCCATTTACACAGTACTTCAAA